AAAAACTTCTTCTTTTGTTGTCAGTTAAAATCTTCTGGATTACTCCTACAGCTTTAAAATTAGCCATGTCAACAAACCATGGCCTCTATGTAATGTGCAAGAGTGTTTCATATCAAAAGGATACCCGAATCTCTTTTTCTCTGCATGAACTTCATCATTAACTAACCGAGATAAATGATCTGCAATTAAGTTCCCACTGCCCTTCTTGTCACTGTTAGCAAAAATCAAAGATGTAGTTTTGATGATGAACAGATTTGCACAAGTCAAGATCCACAAAGACAAATTGAAGATCTCTGTATTTTATAAAGCTTTTATAATAATCAAAGTTGATGTAATAGTGCTCAAATATGTATTAGGATTGATTCTTGTAATTTATATTTGATTTATTTAGTTAATCGATTATTCCTGAGAATAATCAATTAACACTAGCCGTTGGGGGTTTCAGATTTGAAAAACTAGCTGTTGGGGGTTTCAGATTTGAAAAACTAGCCGTTGTACTCATTATTAATCGATTAATATTTATGTTAATCGATTAAATGCGTTAGATGGCCCGTTTTCGAAGAATGGAAGGGTATTAGGCTGAGTCTATAAAATGGCTCACTCTTTATCTCAAAAATAACTCTTCCCTTGTGCAAAAGATCTCTGAACTCTTTGAGAACTCTGTGAGATTGTTGAAGCTAAGGAAACTCTTGTCTGCAAGTCCTGAAGTGGTACTGTGGTGACAGAGGAATAGCTTGTTCATCCTTGGTGTGTCTGAGGAAGTGTCTGGAAGAGGATCATCCTTCGTGAAGCATTCGAAGGAGGTGGTCATCCTTTGTGAAGATTCAAAGGAGGTGTAAGTTCATCTCTTGTGGTTTCAAGAGAGGTGGTAATTTCTAAACTGTTACAAATTGTTTTTCTGTGTGACTAATATTTGTAACTGTTTTGTGATAGTGAAAAAGGTTTATCTTGTTTGAGATAAGCGACTGGACGTAGGATCCTAGTGATCTGAACCAGGATAAAATCACCTGTGCAATCTTTCTCTTTCCCTTACTCTGTCATTTATATTTAATCATTCGCTTAGTAAGAAAGAATTGAGAGAAAAATATTAAAAAGGCATAATAAGAGAATATAACCAATTCACCCCCCCTCTTGGTTTGTTACCACGCTAATAATTCCGCTGCAGCGATTCTAACAGTCACGGATTTCCACATCAAACTCTTACAACAAAAGCACTAATATAATCAAGTGTGGTTTAGAATCCGGCTTAGTTAACAAATACTTGATAGCTGCATGATCCGTATATATAATCACTTTAGACCCAATGAGATAAGGCCTAAATTTCTGCAGTGCGTACACTATAGCAAGTAATTCCTTTTTTGTAGTGGCATAATTCAACTGGGCTCCATTCAAAACTTTGCTTGCATAATATATAGTGTGAAAAACCTTCTCTCTTCTCTGGCCAAGTACGACACCTATGGCATAATCACTAGCATCACACATCAACTCAAAATCTTGATTCCAGTTTGGATCTATAATCACTGAGGCAAAAATTAGTTTATTCTTCAAGATGTCAAAAGCCTTAAGACATTCTTCATTCATCTCAAAAGGCGTGTCTTTGACAAGGAGATTGCTTAAAGGTTTGGCAATCTTGGAGAAGTCTTTAATGAATCGTCTATAAAAACCAGCATGCCCTAAAAAGCTTCTGACTCCTTTTACATTTGTTGGTGGTGAAAGTTTTTCAATGACTTCCACTTTAGCTTTGTCAACCTTAATTCCTTTGGAAGAAATCTTATGACCTAGAACAATACCTTTAGTTACCATGAAATGGCATTTGTCCCAGTTGAGAATAAGGTTTGTCTAAATACATCTTTTGAGAACAACATCCAAGTTAGAAAAACACAATTCGAAGGAATCACCAAATACCGAAAAATCATCCATGAAAACTTCAATGTATTTTTCTATCATATCCGCGAAGATTGCCTGCACACATCTTTGAAATGTGGCTGGAGCATTACATAATCCAAATGGTTATTTTCTATAAGCAAAAATATCGAATGGAAAAGTAAAAGCAGTCCTTTCCTGATATTTTGGATCCACTACAATTTGATTATATCCTGAACATATAGAAAGCAATAGAAAGCTTGACCTGCTAATCTCTCTAGCATTTGATCCATGAAAGGAAGAGGAAATTGATCCTTCCTTGTGGCCTTATTCAACTTTCTATAATCAATATACATCCTCCATCTAGTAACCATCCCAGTAGGTATGAGCTCATTCTTTTCATTATAGATAATTGTCATCCCCCCTTTCTTTGGCACCACCTGCACTAGGCTTACCCATGAATAGGATATTTGATACTAGCGTCCAAAAGCTTTAGAACTTCCTTTCTAACTTCATCCTTCATCACAGGATTTAGTCTCCTTTGTGGTTAAGCAACTGGTTTATAATTCTCTTCCATGAATATTTTGTGCATGCAATAAGTCGGACTTATACCTTTAAGATCCGAAATTGACCACCCACTAGCTCCTTTGTTTGCTTTTAAAACTTCCACCAATTTTTCTTCTTCCTTACAGGATAGAGAATTACTGATAATGACATGTTTATTTCCACCTTCCTCTAAGAACACATACTTCAAATGTGGTAGTAACATCTTCAACTCCAGTTTATTTTCCTTGACTTTTTGCTTGACATTAATATCTTCAATTTTCGCCTCATCAAAAGGAATTTCTTTTAACACATCCAAGTCATTTAAGCACTCATCAATCAATTCTTCTTCCTCCTCATTCAAGTCCTCACAAGCATCAATGAGAGTTTTCTCTAAGGGAGAAGAAAAACGTATCATCTTCTTTTGGACCATACATACTTCATCAAGTGTGTCAAGGTGAAAGCATGCCTTATCATCATTTTCATGGGACATGTCTTCAAACACGTCAAAATTCACTTCTTCATCTTGCACTCTCACCTTGAGTTTACCATTCTCCACATCAATTTAGACTCTGGCAGTCTTTATAAAGGGTCTCCCAATAATGAGAGGCACATTTACATCCTCCTCCATCTCCATGATGACAAAATCCACAGGAAATAAAAATTTGTCCACTTTAACAAGCACATCTTCAACCACCCCATAAGGGTATTTAAGATATTTATCTGCTAATTAGAGAGAGGCATCAAGTTGATGATGGTTCCTAAATCAATCAATGCCCTTCCAACAGCTGACTTTCCTATGGTGCATGGGATGGTGAAACTATCCCGATCTTTAAATTTAGGAGGCAAGAGTTTTTGTATTATAGCACTGCAATTTCCCTGTACTTCAATGGTCTCCTCTTCAATGTACTTCCTCTTTTTCGTAAGAAGTTCCTTCAAAAATCGAGCATAAGAAGGAATTTGTTGAAGTGCTTTAGAGAAGGGTATGTTAATCTCCATATTCTTGAAAATTTCCATAAAACGTGATGGAATCCTGCCTGATGTGTTTTCTCAGTGTTCTTTTTTTGTAGTTTTCACATTTTATTGTGCACGTATTTTAGCTTGTAAGGAGCATGGGTTACTATAAATACCCAGCTCCTCTCTTGTATTGACACTTTTGAGCTTAATGAGAATTTGATTTTCTGACCTTCAGAAATAATTCTCTCTTGAAAGTCAGGCTAGAGAGTCCAAGGAACCTCCTCTAGCCACCTTCCAAGCACACTTCCTATTTTTCATTCTTCCATTTTACTCCATTGTGCTTCCATTAATGCTCTCCTCCACGACGCGCTGTTCATTCCTCCAAGCCAGCTTCTTACGCACATCATTCAACCAATCTTCATTCACCACGCGTTAGAGGCCATTGCCTCGCCATTTTCTCTCTCACGCTTTAGAGAGCCTCCTTCGTGTCTCCAGCTTCTCACTACCTCGCGAGACTCTCGCCTTATGGTAAGCCTCATCTCTTTCACTCTTCTTCTAGGTTTAGATCTCTTTCCACCATTTCCTCATATCTTCACCGATTAAAGCCCTCTCTACCATTTTTCTTCATCATTTTCACTTTGCCTTTCGATTTCACCGATTGTTTTCCCCTTTCTACCATTTAATCCACCTTCCACCAAACAATCTAGCTTTTCCACCATTCAATCTCGTTTTCTTCTCTCTCTCTCTCTCTTCTCTTCTTCTTTCCTTTCTTTCTTTTTTTCTCTCTCAATCTCTCTTTCTCTTTTCTTATCCTGGATCTCTTTAAGTCTTGCCCCAAATTCTAATTCTCTACGAAGAAACCCATGATCATTTAAACTCTCAAGAAATAATTTTCCATCATTAATGCAATCCCTAATTAGTTCCAGGTTTCTTTTAATACTTGAAGGCACAAACTTTCTTCTCATGCAAGCTTTTAAATCATGCCAATCACGTATGGAAGACTTTCTACCTTTCCTAACATGATATTGTCTTTCATCCCACCACTCACTTGCATGCTCTTCTAACTTAGATAGATATATGCTAAGAACATAATATTCACTCTCTCCATAAAACCAAGGATTTATTTTATCAATTTCTTTTTCCCAAGCTAGGTATGTTAATGCACCTATGTCTTTATGATAACGGTTGAAAAATCTTTATTTTTATGCTTAAAATTGATACCAAAAGCAACCTTTAAGACTTAGAAACTAGCTTGAACTCATATTTTTGCTTTAGTTTTGTGAATAAGAGAGTTGAAAGTGAATTTAATGGTTTTGTGCAAGATTCCCTTGATTTTTTAGGCTAATTGAATGATTTGAAAGAAGAATTGAAGTACCGAATGATTGGAGTGCTGAAAAGTCAACCAGGTGTTGTTTACAAATAAAATGTTTATACCATAACTGCAAGCAGACAAAGTCTAGCATCCAAACAGTTGAAAGTAAATGAAAAAAAATGCATTCATTTGAAAAGGAAAAACCCTCCCTCACACAAATAAATCTCTACAATCTTAACAAAACTAACCTGAACCCACTCAGATGTCAAATTAAGAAATTCAAAATCAAACCCATAACATCCAAAAAAAAGCAAAGTATTGCTTATCATATTACTCTGTAATAGAGAAAAAATATCTACGTTCCCATGGTATACATCTAACCTCTATTATCCTACTAATCATTGTCCTAATCTCAAATATAGAATTCGAAAATGTTTAAACATACAATGATCATAGCATCAAAGGAAATCGACACAACATCGTTCTATATATTTACCCTAACAATAATATTGACGCGAGTGGAATTGAAACATCAAAGTTGAAGTTATGGCTTTGCACTTACATGATTGCTGCTATGGTTGCTCCGATTCTATCCAAGCCTCGCCGTGGCAGTGGCGATGGCGGTGGTTGTGGCTGTGGATGGCGATGGCGGTGGTTGTGGTGTGGATTCAGAAGATAAAAACTAGTAAATCCCTAATTCTAAAATCTTTTCATGCTTATTAACGAATTATTGCGCGGTAAACTGAATGAATTAAACACAGATTAGGGTCGACCCTTTTCGATTTTACGCATACTAGCATAGAGTTACGTACGAAGAAAAATAGGAAGAAAGGATTACTACCAGATGAAGGTCTTAGCATCTCCTAACGAAAGACCGCCACTGAACGACGCGGAGGTGAAACGAAGTGACTGAACGAGATTCCTCAACGAGGCACAAGGAGATTATAGGAGAAAGGTTTTCGCACGAAACAGCTCGAGTGTTTCAGTGCCTGTCGAGAGATGAGCAGTTTCAATGCATCGAGAGTGGAGGTGTTGAAGTTGGGTTCGAGAGAGATTGAAGAGATCAATGCGTGGAGAGTGGAGAGGGTGGAGAGGTGTGGAGAGTGAAGATTGAATGTTAGGGTTGCAGAGAGATATTTGAGAGAATCAGTGCGTAGAGAGTGGAGGACTTAAGGTTAGGGTTGCAGAGACATTTGGGAGAATTAGTGGAGAATGCAGAGCTAGGGATCGAGAGAGATTCGAGAGAACACGCGAGTGTTCCACCAAACAAGGTTCGAAAGAAATATAATTTCAATCTTTTTAAAATAAAATTAATTTCAGATCCGTATGTACCATCGGTGGGTAAACACTTCCCCCCCTAGCTTTCCTATTTGACTGTCATCACCTTTTTTTTCCGTCATTACACAGGAACTCTCTGCCCCATGCGCAAAAAAATACATACGGAGTTTATATAGGATATATCGTATATAAAATTGTGATATAATATCTGTATATAATTTCATTTTAAGATATGTATAAATATCGTATATAATACTATCGTACATACGATCAAAATCCGTATATAATTATCGAGTAGATAATAATCATTTTTCTTGTAGTGAAAGAGGAAAAACCCTAACTAATGATGAAAGAAAGCATGTATCTTAAAATAAGATGTTAAAACACAAATTCCATATGAGAGTTTCACAAGACTACATTGATTCCCCAACAACAATACAAAGTTTAGTTCACCATATTCATGGTGAAACTAGATGAACAATAATGAAAGAATGAAAGAGATAGAAAAACCCTAGAAAGAAGAGGAGAGGAGAACCGTCACCATCTCCCAATCAACCCCCAAGGGAGTGAAAAGTGGTGTTTCTGCTTCCTCCCAACCAAAGATACAAACCTAGGATGTCCTAAAGCTTATATACTATTCTAAAATACAGAAAATAGGCCCAAGCCATAAAAACAAAAGAAAATCGGTCAAAGGCCCACTTAGAGTGGCGTCAGCGGGTATTTACCACTGAGCAGTATAGCGCATGATCCATTTTGCCCCCAACTGCTGTTTTTGCACCTCAGCGGTGATTTTGGCACCTGAAAAGTGTCACTCAGCGGTATTTTACCGCTCAGCGCCCACTCGGTACAACTTTTTCTGGCGGTTCTGGTTGATTTTTCGCATTCTGGTTGACTGGTTGACTTTTGAGTTGACTGGTTGACTTTTCTGGTTGACTGGTTGACTTTTCTGGTTTCTGGTTGACTTTTCAGCACTCCAATCATTCGGTACTTCAATTCTTCTTTCAAATCATTCAATTAGCCTACAAAATCAAGGGAATCTTGCACAAAACCATTAAATTCACTTTCAACTC